AAAGCTACAGTAATCACAGTATGGTAACGGCCTAAAGACAAAAATATAGATCAATGGAATAGAATTGAGAGCCCAGAAAAATGCCTTACATTTACAGTGAATTTATAGGCAAATGATATTACAATAAGGCTGTAATTTAAAAAGTCAATGGTTAAAAAAAAAATGAGTCTTTGAAAAAGTTAGTGAGACATTTTTAAAAATAAGAATTTTACTTTTTTTATTTATGAGCAGTAATGTTGCAAGAGGCAGGGGAAACTTATTTCTTGGAGTACAATTTATAGCATGAACTACAAGAGGAAATTGATGGCCAGCAAGATATCTCTCATTCATTTTTTTCTCATTTAGTGAATTCCTTCCTTCATTCCTTCCTTCCTTCTTCCCTTCCTCCCTTCTTTACCTCTTCCCTCCCTCCCTTCCTTTCTTCTTTAATAAGATGATGAATTTTCTGTATAGCCATAACACATACCTATTATACCCTTGAGCTTTGACTCTACTTTTGAGTCTAGATACTCCTTTATTAAAAAATAGGAGGTAATCATTCGATAAAGAGTATATAAGAATAGCAAACAACACTTACCTATGGCATCTAAATTCCAATATGTCATATCAGATTTAATTACACCATCTGCATTTTGAGCTTCCACTTCAATGGTGCAATTATCTATGTTTGTTACACTTGGAGGAAAAAAAGAGCACGAAGCACGATTTTCACTTGTAGAACTATTGGTTGTACAATTTTCACTTTTACTTCCATAAGAGCTTTCAAGGAAAAAGTGATTCAACATGAGATTAGTACAATGGTTTAGAAACACAGCCACACTTAACGTTTTAAGCAGTATTTATTAGTTTTACTCTGGGTTTCTCTTAAGAACTGTATAGTCCAGGATTTACTTAACCTCTCTCCAAATGCCTTCCTCACTTCTAAGGAAAGGTAAAAGTTGTCTGCTTTCTACCTGCCTGAGATGCTTCAGGTGCCACAGAGACCTCCTTGGAACCCTGTAAGCCCACCAAAAGCTACACTTGCAGTGCATGTCCTGTTGGCAAGAAATAATGAATAGCTCCTGAAAATCTCAGATTCTAGCTTTGAAAATTTATTCTTGAAAAAAAAAAATGAGATATATATGTTAATATATATCTCAAAGAGGATGTGTTAAATAAATTATGGCAGATATACAAATAGAATTTAAAATGGTGGTTTTTAATACACTATATTTATTGATATGGAAAGATGTTTATACTGTATTATTGGTGAAAAAAGCCTGATGTATATCACGTATAGAATGACTATGGTTATATAAACATATATAGATATTTACATAATTATTCATAGAGATGTCTGAAAAGATCATCAAAATGTTAAAGTTATTCTCTTTGGCACTGAAATTTTTGGTAATTTTTTATATTCTTTATATGTTTCAGGTTGAATTTTTGAATACTAGTATACATTGTTTTCAGAGAACTCATTAAACCAGATAGATGGATAGATAGACAGATACATACTATCAAGCTGCAATTTAATGAAAACAAGTACACATAGTAGTGGGAATCAGATGGGTGGGCATAACTACAGTCCACATGGTGCTGGGGATTGTGGAAGAGATGGAGCTGGTTGAGAACAGAAAAAGAGGCCCACTTTGCAAGGTTCCAGGGCTTACTGAGGTGCGGGAAGGGAGCAGAGCTTGGACACATGGAATCATGGAATCTTGAAACTAGAAAGGACCTTGAAGGTTTTTGATGGTTATTGCACAACACAAAAACAGCCCTCAGGCTAGTGTTACGTCATGTTTACAAGCATGGGTTCTGGAAGCAGACCAGGTTTGAATCCTGGCTTTGTCCCTATTAATTGTGTGACTTGGGCAAGTTCTTAGTTTTCTCACCTGTAAAGTAAGGATAGTAATATACCTGTAGCACAGGGTTGTATGAGGATGAAATGAGCTAATACGTATAAACCACTTTAAAAATGTTAGGCACATAATAAATGTGAGATGCGATTATTATTACTATTACTATAGTTGAATATTTTCTCATTTATTCATGTTGTAACCTTTGAGAAATGCCCTTTCTCACCTTTCCACACCTCTAGACCTCCTTCAAGTCTCAGTTTAAAAACTACCACCTCCA